TCAGTATCCCCACTCCCAGCCCCACCCCCAGCCAGACCCTCAGGGACAGGGGCTTGTGCAAGGGGGGCAACAAGGCACAGGGGCCCCCTGAATCAATGGGACTGGAGCTCAGAACTCCTCCGGGGAGCAGAGGCAGCTCCTCTGGCTGCGGGGGGCACACAAAGTGCCCCTCCAAACGCGGCCACATTTTTATTCCTGTGCACGCCCCTGATCAGGGGGTCTCTGCGCCAATGGGGCGCTCAGAGCCAGGCTCTGCCCTGAGCCCTGGGCCCAGCAGAGGGGACGCCCGGGTAGGGGGCAGGGGTTTCCCCAGCAAGGGGGGAGCAGCAGCTGCTGGAGGTTGGAGGCAGAAGGAGGGGGGATCCCGGCCCCAGGGGGAGCTGCAGAGCAAGGGGCTTTCCGAGGGGGATGCTCCCCTGGCTGCCCCAGCTCTGGGGATGCACAGAGGAGTTGGGGCCCAGGGGCTGCCCAGGGGGTCTCAGAGCGAGTCTGGGCTGTCGGTTTGATTCAGCCCCATTTGTCAGACAAGCTCTCCTTCAGCTCTGTAGACACAGGGACGTTCCTCCTCCCAAATAGGGACAGCCGCACCCAGACCTGCTCCGCAGTGACTCCAGGTGTGAATGGCAGCTGGCTGGAGCAGGGATTGTCTGTGCGTCGTGTGTCTGTACAGCTCCAAGCACACGGGGGAACTGGCCCACGACAGGGGCTCCTGGTAATTAATACTAGTCAGGAATGATTTTGGTTCCGGTTTCCGTGGAGCCAGGCAGGGGCTGTATCTGCGCTCAGGGTCTCGCTGGGCCGATCCTCCCCATTCTGAGATCCCGGGGGCGCTGAGCTGGTCCGAATCCCTGGGTCCCGTCCTCTCCCCAGGGACGCCGGCTCAGCCCAGGGAAGAGCCGCCATTGCCGGTTGTGGGTGGGGGTGTGTGTCCCTGTATAACTAACCACACATACCAGGGCTCCAGCTTTCTCACCCCCGCACCCCACCCCTGACAGATGCTGGTTCTATTCCTGCAGGGGGAAACAACCAGACTCAGCCGGGAAAGACACCAGTTCCCACCTGCCCACACAGCACAGGACCAGGTACCAGGGCTGGGGGCATGAAATCACCATCAACCCCCCCAGAAACAGGTTTGTGCTGTCCCAGGAGCTGCCCCCGGGGGGGAGCCACGTAGGGCTGGGTGGGTGGGACGGGGACAGATCCCCAAGCGAATGCCCCATCTGAACACCCCCCAGACTCATTCCATATGCGGGGGGAGGGCAGTCACTGGACAGATGCCAGATTGGCTTGGTGGGGACAGGGCCTGGGAGAGCTTCCCCCCAATGCACAGCCCCACCCCGGGGGTCCCACAGACCGGGGCAATGGAGGGAGCTACAGCTGCCAATATAGCATCAAGTGAGACCTGCCTGTCTGGTCGGAGCCCAACGACCTCGTGGAGCTGGTGGTAGCAGGTGAGGGGCCTGACTTGGTGTCCCCGTTCCCAGCCCCACCCAGAGCTGGACCCTCAGGGGGTCTTGACCCCAATGGGACACTCAGTGCCAGGCTCTGCCCTGACCCCTGGGCCCAGTAGAGGGGACACCCTAACGGGGAGCGGGGATGGAGTCACTGGGGGGTTCCCCAGCCAGGGGGCAGCAGTATCCGCTGGAGTTTCAGGGCCGATGGCTGGGTGCCCAGTTCCCTCCCTCCCCCATCCCAGCCGATGCTCATTTTGATCCCATTGAGGGAACCGACCCACCTGGGTCCCAGCAGACAGATATCCCACCCCCCCACCCCCCGACAGAGCCGGATGGAGAAGGTGAGCAGGAGAAATGGAACAATTCACCCCCCAGGAAACAGGGCTCCCCGCACAGACACCCACGGGGCCATTCGGGCCGTTTAGAGGGGATGGTCCCTGCAGACAGAACTGATGGATTCAATTCTTCTAGATAGAGGGTGATGGATAGATCCATGGGGACGGCTGGCCATGGGTCAGTGGGAATGTGGGTCCTTGGGAACGTAGGGCAGTGGACAGATGGGAGCACGTCTGGTGACGGATACGAAGATGGAATAAGACCTTGTCTACATGAAAACGACCCAAAATGACGAATCCCCCGTGTGGTTCCCAACCCCCACTGGTGATCTCAGCGCAAGTCTGGGCTGTCGGAATTAGCGCCCCCTGGTTTGATACAGCCCCGGTTGGCAGACAAGCTCCCCTGTAGCTCTATAGACACAGGGACGTTCCTCCTCCGAAATAGGGGCAGCCGCACCCAGACCTGCTCTGCAGTGACTCCAGGTGTGAATGGCACCTGGCTGGGGCAGGGACCGTCTCTGTGTCGTGTGTCTGTACAGCTCCGAGCACACGGGGCGGCTGGCCCCGGTAATTAATACGAGTCAGGAATGATTTTGGTTCTGGTAACCGTGGAGCCAGGCAGGGGCTGTATCTGCGCTCAGGGTCTTGCTGTGCCGGGGAAGAGCCGCCATTGCCGGT